CCAGGCCGGGTTAGGCGTGCACCGAGTGAGAGCGAGGGGCGGGGCGGGGGAGGGCATAGCACGCATGCACGCACACACAAGCACACACGCGCGCGGGAAAGGCGATGCTTAGATTATACTATGAGCGTATTCTATCACGGAAAGAATTGCTGGTAACACAAATTATAGCGTACTATCCTGCCGGGGGTTAGTCTGTTAATTCAACCAGAAGCCATACGGGCTTCTTTTTTCTAAGCAAAAGCAGAAATTCGTGCGAGTTGAAAAACAGGGATAAAACAGCCGTCGTGTTATTGCACATTAAGCACCACACTTTTCACTATCAAGTTTCGGCACGAAGTTCGTTCGGAGGCAAGGGTGTGTCCAGGACTGACCGGTTCTCATGCAGAGCAGGGCGTTGTTGAGAGCCAGCAATGACGAGGAGCAGGCCGTGTCCATGGCGTAGCTGGGACCTGCGAAGGCACAGTCCAGCAGCTGCACATAGCTCGAATGCTTGCCCAAGACACAGTAGTCATGAAGGAATAAGTGTTTCTCTCGCTGAACATGAAAAGAATACATGTCAAACAACGTCACAGCTTGGAGACGCTGGTGCCTGCTACCGTTACCAGTTGCATGCCCAACTACAAGCCTCATATTTCGACTTGCACTGGAGTAATGCGACGTTCAATAGCTGCCCATAACTACCACGCTGCTTAGATTGTCACCTGAAGACAGCTGACACAAAGCAGAACACGTGGGGATATTTTATGTCAGGCTATGTTGAACTTAACTCCACAACTTTCTAACTCGACCTCTTTGAATTTTCCTATCCACCCAACATATGGTCAGAATGCGCGCGCCCAACACAGATTTCGAAGACCCGGTTCTCAGACAACTCTCGGCACAGCTGACCGACGCCGTGCACTGTCGCTAACCAGTGAAGTGGAACGTGTAGCTGATCCTGTTGGCGAACATGGCGCGGTTGGTGCCCGTCAAGCCGTAGCCGTTGATCTGGTCGGGGTCCTCGGACAGCTTGGTGTCCTGTCTCGCTCTGGGACACGCCGATGAACACGCCGGTCCTGGTGCCGCGGAGAGACTGCGGGCTCACTCCTGGGGACGGGGCAGCACAGGTCACGGCAGGTCAGTGCAGCCACTGAGGGTCACGAGCCGTCGCTGAGCACCGCCGGCAGAAGCGGAGGTTTGTCAGCGGCCATCGAAACCCACAAGCGTTCACCGCAGGGGGGGGGGGGGTCTGCCACGGCGGGTGCGGAACAGTTAGGTCAAGGCCAACAAGCGTGACAAATGACAACTACAGAATGGGGACCGTTCTTGCAGGTCACGAAAGCGGGTCAGCGCCGGGTCAGCACGGGTCACTACAAATCAGCAGCGATTGTCGGATGCTAGATGTGGTCACCGAAGGTCATCATCAGTCGCGCAATGTGGACGCGGCTCACTCCCAAACAGCGGCGGGGAAGAAAGCACAGCATTTTCAAGTCACGCTGGGAGTTATCGACAAGGAGACCAGCACACGCGTTCTCTTATGTTTTGTTTGTTTTATCAACGCCTGCGGATACGCAAAAGCCAGCACGCACCAAAGGCCGGGGACTGACAGACAGATGGTCGTTTGTCATCTCTCAAAACGATGGATACTGCGCGGTAGTACTACAGGCCATTCACTGCGCCGTAAATCGTTCGCAATGGCGTCGGATCAGACTGGCTAGCAAACTTTCCTCAGCCATGTTATGGTGGGAATCTTGGGTTAAAACTCTCGTGTGGAAATATGCAATGACGCAAGACAGGCTGCTTAACATGGACCGGTTTCGGAGACATTAGATGTCACAAGGTCGGCATCCAAACACTGCCCGCCGGCCGCATCGTGGTCATAACGCTCCTTTACAAATAAGAACTAAACCGGAGGCATAGCCAGAATTTCGCCAAGAAGGGACCCAATCTGGTCAAGGGGGCCATTCCAGCAAATACAGATAATCTTATCGCCGCTTAAAGTCTTGTTTTGTTTTTGTTTCGGTTAACTTTTAGACAAGAGAGCCTGTCGTGATGCCTTGGAGCGTTTTTACGTTGACGGGCCTACGGGCGCCTTGAAATGACAAAAAAAAAGCTGGGCCTTTGACCCCAGATAGCTCCGCTACCTCCGAGGCGGAAGGGAGGGTTTGGCTACGCTACTAAACCATACTGTGGTTTTACGAATCCAGGCCAGACGACCGCGCCATGACAGCGTATCCGCGTCGCTCGTTCCGGGGTCATAATGAATTTCCAACCGCCTTGTCAATGTGGATGATTTCCTGCTACAACGGCAGCTCAGGAAACTAACCGACACGGCACAACGGTCGTGGTGTTCACTTCCCTTCTCTGCTACAACAGCCAGGCAACAGTCGGGTTTCGAACCCACACCATGTACAGCCTATAAGCTCTGCATTTTAAATCTGCATCCACATATACAGCTCTCGGTCCTGGAACTGCCCAAACTACGGACCAGACCTGATCCGGAACGTGGCTCAGTAGGTCTGACAGGGACCGCGACAAGGAGCAGGACCGCGACCTAGGTCAGCAGGTCGGACCAGCTATCCAAGACGGCTGCTGGACCACGGCTGACGCCGGGCCAGCTCCGGACACCGCGCCCGCCCGGCCGTCCGCACCCGTACCCGCGTCCACGATGGCCTCGTGCGTGAGCTCCAGCAGCAGGCGCAGCTGCGGGTCCATCTTGTTGGCCTGCTTAGGACTGACGCCGAAGAACGAGGCGTCGAACGACGACAGGTCCTTCAGCTTGCCGGATCGCGTCGGCAGGCCGAAGATGCCTGTGGACCGGCGGCGGACGAGCGTGACGTTACCGCGCTCGGTGGACCGCTGATCGCCGGCGCGGGCGGGATGGGAGTGAGGGGGGGGGGGGGGGGGGGGGGGGGGCAGGCAGATCAGGCGCCGTCGGCTGAATAGACGATAACTCGACCGTCACGCCGGGCTCGCGTCGCCACAGTGCTTACTTCCGTCACCCCACATCGGCCCATCAAACACGTGACCAGTGTTTGATGGGCCGATGTGGGGTGACACATCATGTGGGACTGCACACGTGACCAGTGTTTGATGGGCGATGAGGGGCGACACACCATGTCAGACGGCTCACGTGACCAGTGTTTGATGGGCGATGAGGGGCGGCACACCACGCCAGACGGCTCACGTGACCAGTGTTTGATGGGCGATGAGAAGCGACACACCATGTCAGGCGGCTCACGTGACCAGTGTTTGATGGGCGATGAGGGGCGACACACCATGTCAGACGGCTCACATGACCAGTGTCTGATGGGCGATGAGGGGCGACACACCATGTCAGACGGCTCACGTGACCAGTGTTTGATGGGCGATGAGGGGCGACACACCATGTCAGACGGCTCACGTGACCAGTGTTTGATGGGCGATGAGGGGCGACACACCATGTCAGACGGCTCACGTGACCAGTGTTTGATGGGCGATGAGGGGCGACACACCATGTCACATGACCAGTTCAGAGCAGTTAGCGGCGGGCGGACCGCCACCCGGAGACGGGTCACAGTGTGCTCAGCGCCACGCGCCGGGAAAGAACAGAGCCGCGACCGAAGCCTTCCGCCCGCAAGAAACACGCCCACGGGACGAAGCCGTGACCGTGGTCAGTTGCGGTTTATTTGTATATCGGGCGGATGGACAATGCTAATAATAACCCGCAGTCAAAGTGGCCGGCGTTGTCCAAACATTTGATTGCCCGCGTGGCTATGCATCTGCCTACTCCTGGCCTTAAGTTTGAGCGGCTTGGTTCACGGGTGAAGACCACCACAATTTCAAGAGCAGGCGAGAGCCCTCCTTTAGATGACATGCTTGAATGAAACCAACTAAATCCCTGCATGACTGGATCCGTCGCGGCCTCCGTGTGACGAAAATCCAGACCGTTCTACGCATAACCATTCGAAACATAGCACATAGCATAACCATATGAATTCACAGTGAGCGGCGCTGCCCGCCAACGGATCAGTTCGTGTGATTGGACCGCATTGCGCGTCCGTTCGGGGGGGGGGGGGGGGGGGGCAGCTAGATCAGAAGCTGGACGGTCTGGCCGGGTGGCGGCAGGCCCACCGGCCGGGCCGGCGGGGGTCAGGCCTGGGCCCTGACCAGGGGTCCTGGCCGGGCGGCGACGAGCCCACCGACCGGGCCGGCGGAGTCAGGCCTGAGCCCTGGCCGGAGGTCCCAGCCGGGCGGCAGCAGGGTCCACTGACCGGGTGTGAAGCGCCGGCCGTCCTCGGTCACCATATCCACGCCGCCGAACAGGTTGTCGGCGAACTCCTGCAGGTTGTCCGACTCCGGGAACTTGCCGCTGACACCGCTGATGACCACGTCATCGGCGAGCGACGACAGCGTCACCCGCCGGGGGCCCTGCGGTGACGTCACATCACACGTCACTGGCCAGCTCGGTCACGTGCCATTCTGCGGTGACGTCACACGTCATCGCCAATAGCTGAGGCCCTGGAGTGGAGTCATATACTGCCATCAGACGGTGAGCAAATCGCCAGCAGACTACGGGGAAAAAACAAACGGGGGGACAAGCGAATGCCAGAACACGCGGGCCGAACACGCGACATGACCTTCAGAACAAAATTAACACCGCCAGCCGGTCAGACATGACTTAGCTGACCACATGGCTAGGTTATCGGGCTCTGACCCGCCTTTTTACCCATCATCTCGGCTGGAGATAGCGTACTGTTTCCTGGGAATGTGGCTCTTCTTAGATAGTTTTTCATCGGTTCGCCACCTCCGGGTCAGTATACCCGGCCCTGGCTTACCTCCTGGTCAGCACACCCGGCTCTGACTTGCCCCCTGGTCAGCACACCCGGCTCTGACTTACCTCCTGGTCAGCATACCCGGCCCTGACTTACCTCCTGGCCAGCATACCCGGCCATGACTTACCTCCTGGTCGGTCACCGTCATGGAGTCGCCGATGATAGGCGGACAGTCCGGAAACTGGGCAGGCATCGTGATCGATACTGTCGAGGCAAAAGACGGGACGCGTTACAGAGTCGGTCTGAGTACAGACATTTTCGCGGAAGAGAACAAAAGTATTGTGACCGAAGGCCCCAGTACCTGTTTGCAGTTCACGAAGTCTGTATAGCTTCTAAAACATCACACCAGACCTTCAGACATGAAAGTAAGATACCAAGCCTTAAACGGTCCTCCCAACGCCTGACGCCTGATTGACTCCCACCTGGTGAAATCCTGTCTACGCCACTGGCACACGTTACAGAGCCGACCAGTGTGACACGGAGCAGACCCTCGGTATCGACACGCGCGCGCGCGCGACCACACACACACACACACGCACACGCACCACACACACACAACACACACACACACACACACACACACACACACACACACACACACACACACACACACACACACACACACACACACACACACACACACACACACACACACACACACACACACACACACACACACACACACACACGCACGCACGCACGCACGCGCGCACGCGCGCGCGCAGCCGGGTGTCCACTGTGAACAGGACTGTCACGCACGGCATCTACCAAGCGTAGCATGCGCTAAGATCATCCATCGGCCGTAAGGCATGCGTCGGTGTTGAGGTAAATGTCTGAGAAATGTTGCAGTCTCCACATAGGCTCGCTAATAAGCGCGTTGCAAGCTCCGTCTACGCGAGACAGTTGTAATGGAGAACGGGTGGAGCGATACCTTCGGCACTGTCTCTTTTGGGCGACTGTAAGATGCGTAAGAGACATCCAATCTGACTCTGGAAGTATTCCGGACGAACTAATCCAGTTCAGTTTAAAGGCATTTATCCAATATCCCAACGACAATCCAATTATTCCATCCAGCACATTTGATATCCTGGATCGACGACCAAGACACGTCCACGCTACAACTCCAGAGCCTTTGCCAACGACGCATATGCCCGGAGATATGGGCCAGTTTTTGCCCGTAGTGCCACTCATGAACCAGTTACTGCAGACCCAATACCGAACCATAACAACGAACAGCCTGTTGACCTTGTTGGCCTTAGATGGCTGATGACCTTCGGACCTGCAAGCGAAAGCGATTTATATCACGAACCAAAATGGCATCAGGTGACACAAAGACTTGTATCCTTTCAAACCGATTTGAGAGCGTCTAAACCGTGCATACTCGCCACAGCCTGCAGGTCTCTCAAGCTACACTAGTCCAGCCCTCAACCGCAAACCAGCTCATCAAAATCAGCCGCAGACCGTAAGGGTCGCAGGGATCCAGGCCGAATTGTGAGGGATGTGCGCATGGCGTTCGGTAAGACATGCGCACCTCCCTCATAATTCGGGACCAAACACGAGACAGAGAAACGCACCAACACACGCCACACGCGAGCTCCTCTAGCTTTCTGAAGTTGGGGTGGACTCCCACATGCAGGCGCGAGGCCAGAGTTTGGGCATGGGGGGGGGGGGGGCACGGGGTTGACTGTGATTAGTGGTATGACTTATGTAACGTGGTTTTGAGTATGAGCGCTCGCATTTCTTTGCAACAAAACCTCGACGTAAGGCATTCCAGTCTCCATAGGCCACGCAGCGTCGGCCCCATGGCTAATACTAAGCCAAGGCCATCATGTGGACGAAAATTATGACGCATTTGAAAGAAGTACCTTCGAACGCTCAAGAACATCAAACTGCACAGTGAAAAATATTCCGGGCGTTTCTTTCACCTGTGCAATTTTCAGATTGATGATAAAAAAGGATTAGCCTTTACAGCCCCACGAAGTGATGCTGGAATCTTTATACTGAAGCTGTAAGACTAAATGCGGAATTTCTATTTTCGTGTCGCTGTAAGTGTTAATCTGTCCAGAGGACATCCTGAAAATTGTTATAAAAGAGTCGCCCAGCCCAACCTTTGAACTGTACGAATTGAATTTCAAAAGACGTTCAGAAACATTACTTTACGATAGTCGTTACACGCACAGCGCCCACCGCCTGTTATGACTCGCGGTGGCCACCGCCGTCCGTTCAGCTGCTGAGGATTTATGGCGCCGCCCACGTAGCACCCTGGTGGGAAGGGCGGGTGCCGCGGAGAACCGAGCCTCGTACCTCTGGTTTCCCAGACGCGCAGCGGTTAACGCAGGCGCGTAAACCTTAAGGCTATCGACACCAGCCGCTCAGGCTAAAACCTTTTGATGTTAATTGTTTAACCAGTCGATTCTGCAAAAGAAGGAACGTTTTCAGGCAACATGTTATGTCCTTGAGCGTTTTTTTTTTAAACTCATTTCGACGCTCTATTCAACGCTAATGAAACACTTTATTTCTGGGAAAGAGGCCCCTTGAGTAGAACACTACGGGGCATATTAGTGTTCCCGGTCAGGGGCTGAAAGGCCATTCTGTCCCACCGCGGTGTGTCTTCCGGCTGTCATTCTGGCGACGCGGGGCGGATCTCCTCGAAGATCCGGGGGCCCTCAGAGGGATACATCATAACACATTGGTCCCCTCCCTGACGTGAGGGCCTTATGACTTGCGCAGTTGACCCTGGATCGATGCAGAATCCCTCATTTATGTAACAATAACCCTGATTCACCCTGATATACCTATATCACCCACATACATACCTTATCACACACCCTGATATGATATACCTGATATACCTATATGAATAACCCCGATAACAATAACCGCAGATGGCCAAACATTTGACACAAAAACTCCAGCTCGGCTTAACGGGCCAATACGGGCATTGAACTGGAGTGACCACCGTTCGGTACCGGGGCCCTGAATGGCGCAGGACCGTTCCATTGTGTCAATGCGAGCACTCATCATAAGTTCTCATGTTTCCTTTCATTGTCAGAGGGCCCAAACCAACGCAAGAGGCCCTCTGCCATTCGGGCTACCGTCCCCGTCCTTGTTCAGAAAAGCTTCCCCTGACCAACCAAGGCCCCTCGCTGACACACAATACCTTGCTACGCACTGTGGGCCTCTGAATGATACAGGAGAACAGACCAGTGCAACTTGCGGGCTGGCCTTGTTCCTGCATGGGAAATTGGTCCAGGGCTCAAACCGAAACGGAGCCGACGGTTCGTTGTTGGTGATCTCTGGCCGAAATAGAGGAACACTTTGTCTCATGGGCCCCTATCGGTACAAGAGGTCCACTTACTGACATTTGACATTGCTGTCATATGGGCGGGGTCCTCCATGTGACCTACCCTTTGGACCCTTTTGCCTTCCAATCGGACACTTGATCTTTAGTCACAAGAGGCCCTCCGGCCCCCTCTTCGGGCCTCCTCAAATACCGCCCAGACTGGGGTGTCTGGCCTTCACTTGCCGCCACCGGACCCTTGCTAGGCACTGTGACCCCTGATTTGACAAATGGGTCTCAAGGGCTCAGGCCTTAGATGGGCATGGAGCAGACTGTTCGGTTATCGTGGTCTTGCGCCGACTTACATACCTGCATTGTCTCAAGGGTTCTTCAAACGGTGCAAGAGGACCTCTAGCATTTCAGATCGCGACCTTACGGGCCGTGATTCTAATAGCCTGTAGCCAATACTTCGGACCCTATGCCCTCCAACCGGGCCTTTGATCGTCCGTTCCGATGGGGCGACCGGACCCCTCATCAGGCCTCATCGAACACTTCCCTTGGTCGCCTCGGGGCCCTTGCGAATACAGAACTCTCTGTTAGGCGCCGTAGGCCCCTGACAGACACAGCGCCCCCGACCACTGCAAATCCCTAACCCCGGCTTTATAGCTGATGGGGAAGTGGGCCCTCAGGCCCATACTGACGCAGAGCCGACTGTGCGGCACTTCTGTGGCCTGACCGACTTATAGGCCTATATCGACTCAGGAGTCCTCGATCAGCGCCAAGCGCCCTCCGACGGCTACTTGATCCGTCCCCGCAGGCCGGGGCCGCTGAATAAAACTCTGGTCAGTCCTTCGTGCTCTTAGACCCTCCAATCAAGCCCTTGATCGTCGGACCCTCTAGGCCCTTCGGGCCGCCTCGAACACTGGCTCAGAACAATGAAAATCGCTGGCTCTGACTCTGTTGCTACCTGGGAAATGGGCGCTCAGGCCCATGTCGTCACGGAGCCGACTCCGCGTTACTGGTGGTGTTTGACTGACATATAAGCTCTTATGTACTCAGGGGGGGGGGGGGCCTGATCAGCACGCGGGGCCCTCTGGCTGGCATTGGAGTGCCGGCCCTGCGGGCCGGGGCCGTTGAATGCGACTTCCAGACAACCTTTCGGGCCCTTAATCGTAGACTCCGGGGACCCCTTTGTGCCCCAACAGCATCAATCGATCACAGCATCAACCGATCAGTCTGAAGCCAGTAATCTCGCGGCCTACACATTTCAGCGGATGCTATCAACGACAGGTACTGACGGCTGGTGATGTTCGCCTGTTCGTTGTGCAGACGTGTCTTTGTTGGGGACAGCATGACCGGCTGGGAGCCGTGAGCTAAGCTGTTCTCAGCTCACTGCGGTTAAATGTAAACTCGCAGGATCACGAGCTCCGCCCTTTTATGCTACACTTCATGCATGCCTCACCAGAAGTGACGCCCCCATCTGACCAAGTCTCCCCTCGCTGAGGCAGCCCGGGGTGCCGGACGCCTTCGTTCAGCCGCCTTGCCGGGAGCGAAAATAGGCTGCTCGCCGCGCGTGGGACAGCAACAGCTCCCAGCCGGCCGGGAGAGCCCACACACACGCCGTCCGGAGAGGGGGCGGGGGGCGGGGCGTCCGCGCTATAGTCTCGCCTACGGAAAGACTAAAGCCGGCCAGGCTTGCTTCCCGAGCCGTGGCCGAGTCCGCGCCGCCTCACCGTCAGGGCAGAGGCAGGGGGGTGTTCGCTCGCTGACCGCGCCGCCGCCGCCGCCGCCGCACTCCGCTGCTCCTGAGTTGAGGGACTCAACTGGCAGCCGGCCGCCGCGGGCGCCGGCTGATCGACCGGCGCTCGGCCGTCGCCGGGCGGCGCCACGGCCACGACCCCTGGCCGTGACCGACGCCCGCAAAAAA